ATCACCGTATTTTCATCGTACGCTGTCTACAAAGTGGAATAATTCCAAAGTCACTACGTGTTAAACCTCTCGAATATTCACACAAATCCATACTTGCCGCAAATCATGCCTCCAAAATATTTTTACGAGAAACAATAAATAACTGCAACGTCAAACTTGAATCTTATAGAACGAGAATCAAAAATATAGACGACTGTTTAGCATTACTTGCTACAAGCCATATCTATGAATCCTTCCAAAAATTGTTTAATGAACAAGAACCTCATTTTCATAATGTCACTAAAAGAAGACGAATACAAAAATTCTTGAAACACGAAGAAAAGAAACAACCAAAGGAAGCCTTAGCAAATGATATAAAGAATATTAAAGCCATATATAACATGTCAGACAAGATACTAACCGAAAATGAAATCTCATTACTACAGAAAGGTCTGAATTTCAATATCACTAGAAAACCATTATCGGTCCAGTCCAGGAAATAGCACCTATGATTTAACCTGCTCTACAACAATTCACCAATGAAGAATCACAATCTGTTCGTTAAAAGATATCGCACATATTAATGACACAACAAAACATACCATCTAATCTCACCAAACAAGAATATGAAGCCTAAAGAAATTTGAAGAAAGATAAAAGCACCGTTATAACGAAAGCCGACAAGGGAAATGTCACTGTGATAATGAACAGAACGGATTATGAAAAGAAGGCTATCGAACACCTATCTGAAGGACCATACTTACTCGTTGAAGAGAAGAAGAAATCCGCCGAATTTAACAAAATGAAACTAAATACAAACAGACTCCTTCAAGAAATGAAACCCAAAATTAGAAATCCTCTCTGGTTCAAATTAAAACCAAAATCTTACGTACCTTCAAGATTCTACGGTCAACCAAAGATACATAAACCCACAATTCCATTAAGACCAGTAATAGATTTCATCAACTCACCGACATACAATCTATCTAAATACTTATTCTCGATATTGTAAGAAATTCATATGATTTCAAATCCAAAAAAGAACACCGAGAAATTGATAGAGAAGACATCATGGTAAGCTATGATTTTAACCCATTATATACTAGTATCCCTATTACCGAAAGTCTTGATATCATTTCCAGTCTATTAGAATCAGATACAACGCTATCACAAAGATGTCCACTGGACACCAGTGAAATAATTAAGAGCTTAAAATTCTGTCTAGAAAGTAATTATTTTACATTTAAAGGGAGTTTATATAGACAGACAAATGGTGTTGCTATGGGCTCACCAGTCTCCACAATAGTCACCGACCTTTTCATGGAGAAATTCGAAAATAACATCTTTTCAAGAATACTCACTCCTAAAATATGGTTAAGATATGTAGATTATACTTTTGTAGTAATAAAACGAGATCTACACGATTCATTCCTAGAGAAAATAAACTGTGTATCTCCCAGAATCCAGCTCACTTCGGAAGCAGAATCAGACGTCGGTGAACTATCATTTATAAATAAATAAATAAATTTATTCTCATAGTACAGTACATGAGGGACGCCAGTTTACTGGCATCATCAAATTGTTACAGAAATAGAACCATATAATTTAATCACAATTTACAGTCAGTAGCAAGATATGCTTTACATGTTCGCTGGAGATTATACATACACTTGATAAATGTTAATTCCAGTAGTATAAAACAGCCTTTTCACTTATATACAATCATTTCTGTGCAAAGTTGGAAAAATCTGCTAGATTGTCAGTGAGTGTAACACAACAGGAAATACAGGAGTATTGTCTTCGCATTAACAAAAAAACCAGGTCTTTGGTGGATGGATTGTAAGTGCCTGGGAAAAAAATAATGCTTGAAGTCAATTTTCATACATAACTTTGTTGTGTGCAGAGTCCTCGAATTATAGTTCATTGATGTGTTATTTTGAAATCAGTGATGTGTTTATCTCATTTGATCTGCAATGTCATTGTTGGGAGTAAGTACATAAGCTTCGGACGCATTAATTAATGGATTTCTACTGCTTACGGGTATTTTCTTAGCGTTAGGAAGGTTTATGAGTTTTAGCTGTTCCGACAGGAGTTGAGAATATTAACTGCTCAGCAACATTATGGATATAAGTTCATCACATTATCTAAGGAAAGGTGGGTTGCAGTTGGTGAGGGATATATGGTGCCCAACGAGCGTTCATCTGTCCATGTGATGTTGTGGTGAGTTATACCTTTTTCATGTTGTCGGTTTATGTCCATTTTATTCCACTTATTGTGTTGGGTAGTAGTTTTACAAACGAGATTTCTTGTCTGTTTGAGGATACGTATGTTAACCGTTAATGTTTTATAGACTGCCTAGTTAAGAGGAGGGACAACGGACGTTTAAGTATATCTGTATTCAGGAAGAAAACCCACTCCAATAAATATTTAGACTTCAAATCATCACATCCCATCAGCGCAAAGATTTCAGTTGTTTCAAGTCTTCTTAGACGAGCACACTCTCTGATAACGGATGAGTAAGAAAAAGAAGAAGAAATATCAAACATTACTGAAACTCTCAAGCAAAATAACTACCCAAAGAACTTCATCAACAAAATCAACACTGACATCAAGCATGGTCGAATACGCATTTCGAAAACATGAACCTCAACAGTCGTCATTCCGTATAGAGCAGAGACGTCAGATGATATCAGAAGAGTACTCAATCAGCTGGATATTAAAGTTTTCTTCAAAACATCAGACACACTACGAAACAACCCTGTCCATATAAAAGACCAGATCCCTAAAGATTCTCTATCTAATTGTGTCTATAAAATAAAATGCTTGGAATGTGATGTGATTTACATCGGAAAAACATCTCGAGAAATCAAAATCAGAAGAAATGAACACCGTAGAGCATCTGTCCGACCACCGAGAAATACAGTTGAACAGGAAAAACTTCAAAAATCATCAGCCATAGGTCTACATGCTATAGAATCAGGTCACAAAATTGATTTTGACAATATTGAAATAATCCGGAAAAACTTCAGAAATCATAAAGAACGTCTGATATCAGAAACACTTCATATCAAGCGGAATCCAAATTGCCTGAACAGGAATGATGGACTAAAACAGAGTCTGACCTGGTTACAATACCTCCCTCCCCCATGAAGTGACAAAATCAACACGAGTGTGATATGCAAGTTCACTATGTAAACACACACTGCCTTTATAATTTTAAACACTGATCAAATCCAACAATCCACACTTGATTTTGGTTTTGTTATCTTTACCAATTGACCAACTTGACAGCGGAAAATGACCCCAGACTAACGAACGATGATCAAGCTAGTAAACTTTATTTTGATGTCATAACAGATGTACTATTACCTTTGTTATTTGGTTTAGTGATCTTCATTGCTATTTTAACTTTCAACATGTCCTTTTAACTTGACCTAAGTATATTTTCTCACCCCTTAACTCTTTGTTATATATATGCTGAGAACTTGTAAATTCCGGTTTAATAATACTTTGATAAAGCTATTAGCAGTAGCATTAAATAGCGAAACGTCAGTAAAACCAGCAATATCGTTTTGTTTTTCATTCATTGGGAAATACAGAATCCTTTATCATAATGAATATCATATACCCAATGCCCAAATTTTTTCAATCCGTTAAAAGTGAACTTGGTTTGGACATACATTACTAAGGTACTTCAATTGATGCGTTCCCAATCCGACAAATACGGGGAAAATCGTGTTTAAAATCGCTAGAAAATGGGACACTCCATTGAGAGAAAAAGAGGAAATATGGGGAATGCTAAGATCTTACCCTTTTTCCCGGACACCGCACACTGTCCCCTTTTTTGTCTAGCAACTCGCAATCAAATAAAGGTTCGTAACGAAAATAAATATATTTCATTTGTTTATTGGTTAAAGGAACAAAAGTGAGCAACAATTTGGCGAATTAATTCTTTAGGATTAATGGACAGTTAGAGGTGAAAATAATACACACGTAGAATGATTGTCTCTTAATTTGAATGCTGAATTCAGCGTTATACCTGTCCCCCATCATCAAGCGGATCCATTGAACTATCCTGAAAAGGAAACAAACAAGGTAGTAATCAACGGTGACACTTATACAGACATTTGACATAATAATAATGATATATTAAACGTCTTTGTTGAGCTTCAAAAATTTACTTAATTATTGAGTGCAAATCAAATTATTTGTTTACACGTAAATGCTCACACTTAAAGACCTTAAGTGTGAGTATTTTTTAACACTGAGTTTTCCCATGAACATACAATAACAATTGAGTCATTATGGACAAACCATGTACTGTTGAACAAACTGTCTACCTAAACGCGTAGTTCATATAATCAACAGAACTAGTTATCATAACATTGACAGTTACACGCTACTGGTAGCTGCATTATAGATTTTTACAGCACTCATTTAATTAAATTGTCACTTACAGCACATATCCTCTGGTCACTCTTCTTATTGTCTACAGCAACCTGTGAAAAATAAAAACCGAATTTCGTTGATTGACATTGATGCAATGAAACGGTTTGTAGTATAGTAACCTTAATTTACCATAAACTGTTTACTTACTCTTCACCAGCTACTCCTTTTTTCTACACGATCACGTGCGTCGTGTAAGTAGGCCTTAGCACTGTCTTTCAAAGTCTTCATAACTTCCTCCTAGGACATCGTAGCGGAAGTAAACTTGCTAACAATGACGGTTGAAAGAAATGTTTAAATAAAGCAAGCTTACACGTAATAACTTTATAGAAGTAGCATTTTGTGAGGGCTAACTTCTTTGGTGTTCCGCACGCTGTGAAGCGGCTTGACAGCTTAGGCTCCCAAATGTAATTAAGCATTCGTCGCAACGAAGACTGCAAATAAAAGGATAAATTCCCATTCAGTTTCGTCATCTGAACATAATCGAAAGATGATTGTAAATTTACGTATGAAAATCGGTGGCTACCGCCAAAATATGCAGTTGGTTTTGAGTAACACAACCATGAATTGATAGTTCATTCTTCAACTACATTGTCAGTGTAAGAAAATTTTTGTTTATTTTGACTACTGTCATGCATTATGTGCGCACTTTTAAACTTCGCGAAAATCGATGTTAGCGGTCACTGCGGTTTATTTTTAAATTTTCCTTATCTAACCATAAATACCCTATATAAGGTATGAAAAGACTACGTCAATGTAACCAACGTTTGAACTGCCATAACTGTGCCTTTTACAGAAGATGTAAACGTATCAATAAATGGTTACTGACCGAGATTTCGGTAACGCCGACGTTACCGGAGGCTGTCACACCTGCTGTCCTTCCTGTGAACGTCGAGCCGTCTTCAGTGAACACTGATAGCATGACCATTGAAACTGAGGTAGTACCATCGCCACCTTGCAGGAGCCTAACACCAGCTGCCAGTACTTCAAAAATGTGCCCAAAAGTGTCTTTTGGACGTGATGAAATAATAAGTATGCTACTCCAAATCATTTTTACCACGGACATATCAAAAGCAGGATGTAAAATAATCATGCAGATCTTCCATGAAAGGTGGCCTCAACTACCTACAACTATGAGAGGTATACTGAGAATGTGTGACTCCCGCGTGTCAAGACTAGTTGGAGACGGAATCAATTGCCACATCGGTCTCCTGAAGTGTTTGCAGCACCATGCGGAGATGTCTCCGAACGAAGATTCCCACAAAAAGGTCAATTTAGATTCGAATGTCGACGGATTGTCCATCTCGAAGTCTTCTAACCAGCAGCTATCGCCCCTGTTAGGTAGAGTTATTGCACCTTTCCTAAGTAGTGTATTCCTGATAGGTATATACGGTGGTCCTAGCAAACCTGAATTGATTGCGTCAACTGTCGACATTCCTGTATTCAATGACAAGCGGACTAATGAGACTGTAAATTTTGTTTATATCATATTTACTCATTTCTTACAGAACGAAAGGAAGACTTACGCTGTGTTAACAAAACCTGATGGAAAGGAATTCTTCCTAGCTGCGAGAAAATGGATGGCGTCGGATGAAATGTGCGTGTATCACAGCAGTGTAACAGAGTCTGAAGTTGAAGCGTGTATAATGCCTAGACCGTATTGGTTCATGATTTCCTGTCAGATGTTAGCCGAGACAGGTAACTATTTCGGTATTAACTACATTCCCGCAATTAGACTCTTTTCTAGAAGCCAAGACTACTTTGTCAGCTGTACTACGAATGCACAGTATCATGGCCAGGTCAGATAATCCCGAGAAGACCAAACGTGAACGGTAGATTCTTCTTATTGCTTAATGACGTAATACAGAGTGGAGACAAAGGATTGTGACTCGTACGTTGACTCCGCTGAACTAGAAGCAATGGAGGCACAGAGAGTGTTCTGGTCATCTAAATACCCTAAAACCAATTTCATGGATACTGTGATGTTACCGACAGCCAGGTAACGCACTCATTTAATATTTTTATTCCTTCAGCACTTCCAGTCAACAAGAGCTAGTGGCGACGTCGTCACCAGTCACAGCCAATTCTGCAGCTTATGTATGTTATTTTTAATAACGGGTTACTTTGTAGTAAGGAAAACATGAATTCCCTTAAATAAGTGGTTACCGAGTTGAATTCCTTTGTTAAGGTGGTGACGCAGTTGGTTTCACTTGATGGGTCGAGCAACGTGTCCATCTTAAGGACCACACCTGTATTGAATACCATTTTGCAGTTTCCCAGGACGTTCTCTTCCTGAAATAGCCTTCAATCACGTGGCAGCATAGCACTTAACCAAATATATTCTGTTCACTGGTTGACCATAACAATTAGCAGGAGACGGAGCGAAGTTTGGGTTGTCGCTCAACTCTGGTGATGACCTTAGTGAAGGGATTACAATTTAGCATATATGAGGACCTGTTCCGATTGCTTGTGCAGTAATGGAACAGTTCAAACTTTTAAATAAGTATTAATTTATGATACTTCACGGCTGTAATTTATAACATAACTGGCTGTGCCTGTAAAAATGGCATGCATTTCTTGTAAACACGCTTTTATACGAAATATAAATTATTTTAAGTAATACTGTACGCTGTTAGATTCAAACTCAGATTATAAGGATACAAGGCTCTTGTTGTCTATGTTAATCCTTGCGATATATATAGCTGCAGAGATCTAGTTTGTCTTTGAAAGAGTTCACTATTGGATCTGTTACTACTGAACTAGGTAAGGAGTTCCAGTCGTTGACCATTCTGGTAAAGAATCTAAATTCCACACGTATCGTCTACAAATTCTAAGGAAGGTGAGGTAAGAATTCTCGGCAGTTCATTTACGTATATTAGGAATAGCAGGGGGGCAAGTACAGTTCCCTGAGGTTCTCCACTTAGTACTGCTTTCCACCCTGACAGTACACCACTAACCCTTACCTTCTGTCCATAAGGTAGTCGCTAAACCACTCATAATCCGAAACGTTTGAGTTTACTAAGAAGACCTAAATAGGATACCTTACCGAGTGCTTTACTAAGATCGACAAAGTCCAATCGATGCTTCTTATCCCTGCCTTCAACCCATTCTTCCCTAGCTGACAGTAAAAAACGACGAAAAACAATACTTCAACTAATTAAACCACTTAAAGTAAACCGAAAAGCTTCTGATACGATTTACACAACAAAAGCTGAAGTTACTTCACAACGTAAAAATGCCAGTTTCCTTTTCGAAGCTCTTGCACTGTTAACACTGCAAAACCGTTTAGAGTTGAGACCTGTGTGCCTGATAGTTGACGGCTATAGTTTACTAAAGATGCAAATGTAATTTCTGTAGGATTCTTAAAACCATGTTCACCAGATATTACTGAGATTACGGATTAATTTCTAAGTTATACATTTGCAACACTTCCTTCAAAGTAAACATAATTAATCTGCAGGTAATCTCGATGAGAGATTGGCACCTTAACAGTACGGATGTTTCAGAGATTGCCTTGAAATTTAGGTATAATCCTCTGATACTGGAAAACAGATGATATCTGTTTATGCATGTGGCATCAATATAAAATTCAGCTGTGCACTATACAGATACTTTCATTTGCATGAGAATTTTACTTTGTATAAATATAATCAATGAGTATAATAATATGTAAAATTATCTCTCATAACTTCATGTTTTGCTAATCCTTACATATGCCTTATCTTTTTAGGTATGAATATGAAATCAGCGAAAATGTCAATCGGTCAAACTAACGCGAATACAGTTCATCAGAGTATTCTTTTGTAAATTAAGGAAATGTTTAATATACTCCTAATTTCTACTTCTTCTGGACTTTTTCATTGAATAGCACTTTGTAAAAAGTTAGTAAGATTTATCAAGTTGAAGGATAATACTGTGCTGTCCGATACCTTATTTAGCCAGTTGCACATGTGTATAATGTTAAGCGCCTAGTATGTAGTAGAAAAGGAGATGTAGTACGTTAGGGTTGGGCGCTAATTCACTACTCTGTTAATATGAAATGATATTATCAAATACACTACTTCCTTGATAATGAGCTAAGCAACAATTTTTATTTGTTTCTAATATGACATTGAATCATGTAGTATTAACCAATATCCATTACCTCTATGATCAATAACTGCATTATTTGCATATCTACTTTATGGATATTGATTAGTTACGGTTTTATGCATCTGTTCAGAACTAACAAACTTTAATGACTCCACTTTATCCTGCGTAACGTGTTCTTTTTGCTACACAGAATATCAGTCTTAAATGTATAACACGCGTAAGCGTAGTGAATATGAGCTAGTGATGTAAACGCTAGTACTGCACAATGGTTTTATTCACTAGACCATTTCGAGATGACATATTCATCCCACAACTGTGCAGAAAACATGAAAATAACTCTGAACAGTTATGTATTTAGGTATAATCAACGTACACTGCTTATTCCTATAACGCATTATCTAAAAATACGTAGCTGCTTTAGGATAGTATGTGATCAAGGAAACTATAGGTACATAACGGTTGAATATCGCGTCTGCGTGTAACAATAACCCCACCTATCCAATCGTATACTTGAAAGCGGAAACGATTCAAGTCAATGAAATCAAGTATGTGGTGGCCCTAAAGAGGGCCGTTCCACGTTCTCAGTGAGGTGTCACCTGTTCTTCTTTCATTCCTTCCACTGGTTATACGAAGACAGTAAAAAGAAGCATGTGTCTTTTAAAAAACCTGTCAGTTAGGACATTTAAAAACTGTCGCGTCAACTTCTTGACGCTTAAAAACTCACAGTTTTGCGTCACCTGTGTGGTAGTTGTCACGGGGAGCGGTTTCTGGTAGTAAATATGCATCACCGACAATTCTTCAGAACGCGATCACTTGTAATGTAAGATAACTGAACGTTCAACTAACCGTCAAATTAGGGATAAGTCAGATTGGCAATCAGCATACGATGACAAGCACACCTGCAGGTGGTAAACATTCTCCAAGTATATGTACCCTTCATCAAATCAAGGACCGGATGTCTGAAGCCAATAGAATCAGTCATTTCGTTTGTTCTGAAAATTTTTACCACCAGGTCACAGTTCATTCATTTCATTGTGATTGTTTCATACGTTCTATCCATGCGTGGTTGCAGTGTTTTAGTTGTTTCTCAGCTGTTAATGAAATAGTACTGTGTAGAAGTTCATTGAATTATGCACATGAACATGTCTGGGTGGCAGAAGCTGTTGTTTACAGTTCATTTATTGGTTACCGTGATTGCTTCTGGCTCAATTGGTTACTTAATATGTTGAAATCTCCGAAAACCGATGTCTTTCCCGTTCATATTCATTGTATGCAACAATCTACGAGTCAATCTAGCGAAGAGAGAGTGTGTAGTGACCCATTTTATTACTCATCATCGTAGTATACTTTCGCTATGTAATTGGACTTTGATTTGTTTATCACTCTAAAGATTGCGTGTCGACAATCGATACTTTTGTACTCGCCCAATTTTCGAATTTTGATTACTGCGATAATACACGATCGTATTCCTTCACAAGTGTCTTTTGAATTACGTTGTGGATGTTGAGTAATCAAAACGTTAGGACACAATTATAAACGCGAAGAAGTACTAGGATATATACGTGTACGCTAGTTTGGTCAAAATAGAGCAACACAACAATTGGTGAGCCCAACATAGCTGATAGATCGACTACATCATTTTGAAGTATACACACAGTGGATTTAATCATCTTTGCTATCGTATTAACTTTTATAACTGCATAACATTTGGATATATATTTACTGATATTTTTGCTAAAAGTACCTCCGGTAAGCAGACCATTTTTGGACATTTTTGAACTTACCCATATTCTGTTCTGTTTGTGCTCACTTTTTGTAATTTTTCTGTCACCTGTATATATTATTTTCTGCACTTTTGTAATGTCATTTAATACTGATAACGACACTTCAAGTGCAAGGTCTGTGGTCGCAGTTACCATATACATACACCACCTTTTAAACCTAACGACCCATATTTGTGGTTCACTCGCCTGGAACACTACTTCCTAGCTAACCACGTCACTTCTCAGACTACAAAATTTGGCCTTGCAAGCTCCATATTACCTGACGATGTAGCAGAGCAAGTACGGAAGACGCTCATAAATCCAAATCCAGAAACTCCCTACAATGTTTTAAAGCAGAAGGTTATTAAGGTTGCTTCATAACCAGATCAGAAAGCTATCCATCAGCTACTCAGCAATGCTAGCCTGGGTGATAGAACACCTTCTCAACTCAAAAGCCATATGTGTTACATTTTAGGAGATCGGAAGGTAGACACCAGGTTTTTCTATCAATTATGACTAAGGCGATTACCCCACAACATTCAGCAAGTATTAGCATTTGGAGATGAAGACTTAGATATTGACAAGTTGGCAGAAGTCGGATGTCGCCACAAGTAACAAGAGCACGATCAGAGGTGATATTCGCAATATCATCTACTGGATGTGTGAATCCATCGACCTAAAGCACGTTGTTGGAAATACGGTTTCCCATGCGGAACCCTTTTACTCTTTTAAAATCTGCAACCACCTTTCTCCCGGCATGTTCTGTTAATTTCGACAATAAAGGCTGCAAAGCAGGTATCCTGTTGTCCACCGCATCTCGTTCACCTTCCTTCCTTTGCAACCTCCTGTCACTGCACCGGTGCACCTGTAAGTGCACCTCCCACATACATTTGTGTAGCGTATTGCCTCTGGACAAGTTCCGTTTCATCATCCCGTGCAAACATTCAACACGATTGTTAGCGTTATTGCCAAGTGACAAAACACTACGGTTGAATGCTGCTGCCTGTAATCTCTTCGAAGGTAGCCACTGTCTGATGTATATACCTCCCAGAACGAGGATCTAGACGATGTATGATACCGGTATGTGTAAAATCTGTAATTAAATTGATGATCAGTTCTGGAATTTACTCTTTAATTAATTCATCGCGAATCATACTAAATACGTACTGCCTGACGAGTTTACTTTTTGTCACCCAGGCTAACATTGCTGAGTAGCTGATGGATAGCTTTCTGATCTGGTTATGAAGCAACCTTAATAACCTTCTGCTTTAAAACATTGTAGGGAGTTTCTGGATTTGGATTTATGAGCGTCTTCCGTACTTGCTCTGCTACATCGTCAGGTAATATGGAGCTTGCAAGGCCAAATTTTGTAGTCTGAGAAGTGACGTGGTTAGCTAGGAAGTAGTGTTCCAGGCGAGTGAACCACAAATATGGGTCGTTAGGTTTAAAAGGTGGTGTATGTATATGGTAACTGCGACCACAGACCTTGCACTTGAAGTGTCGTTATCAGTATTAAATGACATTACAAAAGTGCAGAAAATAATATATACAGGTGACAGAAAAATTACAAAAAGTGAGCACAAACAGAACAGAATATGGGTAAGTTCAAAAA